GGATAAAACTGGATCACATTAGCGGAGTTAAAAATATAAGAACTTAAATCAACCCAAAATGTATTGGCTATACTGCAACCACAAAAAAGTGCAGCTGTTTCTTCAACAAGACCACAAAATGGGCAAGTTTCACCAATATCAAGATACTTACAGATAGATGAATTAAACCTGTCACTCAAATCTTTTAAGCTGTTGCGCTTGTTATAACGTCAACATAGCGGATGATATCCGAATCGCATTCATACTTAACGCATTCAGGCTGTACTTCAGGCTGTACACTCTCATAGCGCTCGGTAAGTAAGTACTTCAAGAAATTGAGTGCTTATAACTTAGAAAGTATGCGGTTTCGAACGCAGCCCGACAACATCTCGTTTTGACATCTCGCGTGGTTCTGTGTGATTTGGACAACTTCAAGTTACGCCTCCTTGTTCAAGTTACGCCTCCTTGTTCAAGTTACGCCTCCTTGTTCAAGTTACGCCTCCTTGTTCAAGTTACGCCTCCTTGTTCAAGTTACGCCTCCTTGTTCAAGTTACGCCCCTGTCTTGCAGTCCGCAGACAGACCCTTCTCCTATATTGAGCCAATAGAGAAAATTCTTACCGTTGTCATCAAGCGAAGGGACAGAGTAGGGGAGCTCAAGCAAGGATTTGAATATTTCCGGAATTTCTGAAGACATCTCAAAACAGTATCAGTTTCTCAACACCTGAGGAAAAGCTGGATGCAGGAGACGCTTAATCAGAGCTTCCACTTATTCAAACTGTCTCTCACATTAAAAGTAGTTTGATGCACCAAGAATTCGCAAACTTTTTATCGCGGTCACAAGGTCTGTCGTATCCACGAAGATACTTAACTAGTCCCGCCTCAAGTCGCCTTATTTCCATAGGGATGAACATTTTGACCAATGGATATCGTTTCAGTGTGCATGTTGCTTAATAGTTAATGAGGCGCGGTTGTTTATTGGTCATTCTAGCCGTGTGCATTTACTTCGCGAGCCAATAAGAATGAAGACAAGTTATCTAAGTCTAAAACATCTGCGTGTCAGTGTTATGAAATTGAGGGCAGAAATTCAGTTCAGTTGCGTTATCAGTGTCATTCACTTTCCAGCGACGGAGAGACCTTTATGTCTTGTTTTTAAAAAGTGTTAATAATTAGTAGGATTAATATTTCGGAATAAAAGATTAAATGAAAATGTAAAGAAAATTAAACGCTAGCTAGGTTTGACATTTTTCAGAATATGTACTGTATTCAGGTATTAACTGACTATTGATGAATTGCATTCTTTATAGGCGTGTAGCATCAGCATGTTTCCAAGCATTTATCTACCATCTTTGACCTACGACTTACTAACCACAGAGGCTAAATTATTTAGTTAAAAGGGCTATCTAGGTATTGTTCTCACTGTTTAATGAATACATCCTGATTGCACAGACTATTCATTTGCCATACTGCTTTTTTTGCATACTATTTAGTAGTCTACATGCTAGTCAGGTTTCGAGGGAGGGGACTTCTCATTCTAGAAAGCATTTGATTGGATAAACATATGTAGTGCAGAGTGATCAATATAACATGCACACTGCAAACTTGAAACGCATTTCTTAGTGCATTTTGTTATTGTTTAGAGCAGGGTTCCTCAAATCTTACCCTGGAGGTCCAATGCGCTGCAGAGTTTAGCTCCAACCCTGATCAAACTCAGCTACCTGTGATTGTCTAATGATCCTGAAGACATTGATTAGTATGCTCAGGTGTGTTTGATTAGGGTTAGAGCTAAACTCTGCAGGAAAGTGGATCTCGTGGGCCAGATTTGAGGATCCCTGGTTTAGAGTATACTAGAACATAGATGGCCTCAAGGCTAACAGTTGAATCAACATGAATAAAATCAGACACATTTTCTAAAACAGTCTATTTATTGTTAAACACTTTCATGAGATTTGGTCCACTGTGATCAATATTTCACTTCCAACCAGGGAGAAAAAGGAGAAACAAACCAAACAAATGTAAAAATACAGTACAAAAAGAGGCATTGTTGTTTTTCCTTTTCATTTTTTTCAAAACCCTGATTTTTACTGGTTCTCTAAGCATGTGAAAAATAAACCCAACAGAAACATCTCAACTGATATAATCCAACATTTGCTAAATCCCACATTGTCTTTTCAGGCAGAACATGAATTATTATTAACATATTTCTGCCTTGCACTTAGTCTAGAAAGTGTGCAACTCAAAGGTCTTTTTAAAATGGGCAACCTTCCTTAGTTTCGAAGTCCAGAGAGCCCAGAACATTCCAGTTCTGTGATCAAATAAATTCAAATGGAGAATGAGTAAATGACCATTACTGCAGCCTCCAGAGTGTCAATGGCCAGCAGTACTAACCCTTTGATATGAATATGAATGACTGCAAACTCTTAACTGTTAACTGAGCTTCTCTGTTCTCAGGTTGTTCTCTCTCAGCGGTTATGCACACTACCTCAGCTCTACCATCTCAGCATGATCACATTCCTCAGAAAATTTCAGATGAGAGTTATGTGCAAAACCAGTCTCCATTGCAAATCCAGAGAACATTAACAACACTTCCCTCCCCTATTTCTTTAAACAAGTTGTCTAACGGTGTATATATCATTATACTGAAAGAACAGGATTATTTGTTAAGGTATTTATAGTCGTATATAAATGTATAAGGCGCTATGCAGACAAACATAAATATCCATGTATGCTTTGTGTCCCGTCACAGTATAGCGCTGTGAGGACCGAATCAAACCAATCAAGAGCGTGGTGCAGAGGAAAGTTGCTAAGGCATGATGTCTTTTTTTTCACTACAACCACTCTACAAACCCTCTTAAAAGAGATCCCAGGTTTCAGAAAACTGACAGCAACTAAAACATCACAAAAGCATGACACTCTAAATGTTAATGGTGTCACTTGCTTTTCATTGTTTAGGTTGAAAGAAAACCGACAGATAACTACCCTAGGATCTCAATTCCTCTATTCTGGACAGCTCACTAAGCATACATAGACATAATTCACTGTTAAGTATTATATTCATACATGGATACATATATTTAAAGTGTTATACATAGCAATTAACATATACATATCAATAGCATATAGGAAGATAGAAGTAGTCATAATGGCAATCATTATCATCACTGTCATCATCATAATAATAGCAGTAGTAATAATAATAATAATATGATCCCTCGGTAAAGCGTACTAGGTCACTCCAGAACGTCCCTCTCAATCTCCACAGAAACTGGAATCTGTTACCAGGCCAAATCTGCTCCTTCACGTGTCATTTAAACCCTGAAATTCAATGCAAAGTACAAACGTGATTCTAAACCAATCTCAGGGTGCTTCAATTACCATTCTATAGCATTTATAGGCAGTTTGGGGCAGCAAATTCTCATGTAGACCTCACAAATCGGACACTTCTGGAATGACTCATAAGAAGAAAAAAAAAACACTAACCATCTAATCAGCAATACATGTCATATAGCATAGCTCAATAACAAGAAATTCTATGTAATCAATACAAGGTAAGGTTATACTTAATTAAGCTTAACTGCTAAGTTATCAATTATCATTAGTAGTATGCCAATATAGTAGATATATAAGTGTGTGCATGTGTGTGTTTTTGTGTATATATTTATATATATATATATCATGTCCACTGAAAGTAAGGACAAGGCGTACTAATGGTAGCACTGCATGTCTTGACAGTATATTATGAATATAACTACACATAGGCAGGGCAAGTACAGCTCTTTCGCCTATATTCTTGTAACGCGTCTCTGTTCATGCTCTTAATATGAAATCAATAGCCGGTACAGAGAACTAATGAGCTACTGGCCCACGTTGAACTGTGGCGAACAAGAGTCTCCTAGTAGCGTGTTTATGGGTGTTACAGATTATGCACTTCAAATCCCAATCTAATAGCGTGAATGAACAAACACGGAAGCATCTTCCAACCTCCAATCACTCGATCAAAGAAAAAAAAAAAATTAATACCAAGTGTATTTTCAATCCAAATTGTCAGATCACTCAAAAGACTACAAACAGCCCTTGTGTGCGCACTATCTTCTTTATCAAGCACTGCCAAACTGTCACTCAGTGCAAATGGAAAGAATGAGGAAATGTGTGCATGTCAGTGCAAGACCTGTGACTGGCATTATGCAAGTGGGGGTGGTTTTTACTTAGTTAGTCCATTATTAATTGCCTTGGTTTATCAAATACATTCGACATCCGAACAAATCTCAAATTTCTCGTAAATGGCCACTTATGGCTGTACATTCAAACTCTTCTACCAATATGGCAGGACCACAGAGTTAAGCACCACTTCATAACTTCAATCTGATTTCTGACACCACATACTTGACTGAAACATGAGTAGCCTTCATGACAGGTGCTTTGATTTAATACTGGGACAACCAGTCTGTTTTTGGTTTTGAGTTTAAAAAGTACTGTGGGAATAGATCTTCAACTCCTCAGAAATGTGTTTAGGGAACGTAAAAACAAACTGCCCTTACTTGAGTTAGCTGTAAACGTAGCATTGTGCACTCACATGACACCCTATGAGCCTGTACCAAGTGTCATGTCAGTGAGTGGGCGAATGTGTTTGATAATGGGTGAAAAAGCATGTGGGGTGTGTGTGTGTGTGTGTGTGGGTAAAATGTTTCCATTTCCAGAACACTTAACGATGTGGCCATGATACACTCAAGACTGTACATAAATAATGTTAATTGAGAGGCCTGGGATGAAAATGTCCCGATTTAACAAAACAGATATAGCCGATATCACAAACAGAGATTTTAGTTTTTGCCGTTTCCTATTCAAGCGTGAATAAAAACTTAAAACATTAAACATTACTTGTAGGCTGCTCACCATCTAATAATCTCAAAAGGTTTTGTGTTCTTACTTTTTCATAAAAAAAAAGTCTCAGCTTTGAAACGGTCCAAATTATCATGAAATTCTGACACACTTTAATGTAACAGATCACTGAGGTCATCGCAGTTCAAGTGGAAACTTGGAAAACGAGTGAAGCAATTACCTGTTCCACTTTACTGCTAGTTAATGAATATCAGAAGATATGCTTGATTAAAAAAAATAAAACTTTTTTTAAATGTCACATGTATTCGCTTGTAACTCGTGAGTCAGCTGAAAAAAAATAATAATTTAGCTGAATACATGTACTCTATTATATATATAACATATACCTTTGCCTGTTAGTGATGTCTTAATCATTTAATGTATGTTTGAAGAAATCTCTTGTGAAAACTAGACAGCTGTTTAAATGATTATATTTCAATACAAATTGGAATAGAAACATGATTGTTTCATTATAGAGTTAATAAAAAAGTGCCTTATGTTTAAATGTTTGTTCAGTTTTTTCCAAGAATTGATGATTATATCTACAAATAAACACAGTTCAGATACGTTTTGAAGAAATGTTTAGGTGCTGTTATTCATTTGAACATTTAATATAATAGTAATGAGAAGGTTCCCTGTATAGTTAACAGTATTAGTTATTAGAGACGTTTTACATTTAAAAACTGTCATGTACTTGAAATATTTTCAAATCAAATCAATAACTTGTGAATACAAATGAAATTGAGAAATCTATACCAACACCAAACCCTAATAATTACAACAGTATTAAGATATTTGCTAGAAATGTGTATTTAACCCGTAATTTGTCTGAAAAGAATGATACGGAATTGCCATTGATAGATACTTTAGAAAAAAAGTATTTCTGTATGATTAACAATAGTATGGTAATAACATCCATTACCATAAATATTACATGGTATGATGTTTAACAGATGATTCTCACAGCTGTTGTTTTTCATATAGGTCCACACATCCCGCTCCTCCAAACTGTGTGCAAAAGAACAGTTCCCAATATAGTGGCACTTCTTCTGTTTCATGACATGAACACACATCTGCAAGCACAAACGGAGTGTCAAAAAAAAATGCTAAAACGTATGAGCCAAAAATGCGTAGCGATTATGTAACAATACACAATTTCCAATTTATGTGAAAGACATATTTAATGGGAAACAATCATCTGTTAAAAATTCTGTAGCGGTTTAAACATCATTTAAACTTTTACAGTTTATTTTGAGCTATGTTTGCTGGCAACTCTTTCTGGTTCAAAGCCCTTGAAAAGATCGGTTTACAATCAGTGCTTCATTAAAAATGTGTGTGTGTGTGTGTGTGGGTAAAATGTTTCCATTTCCAGAACACTTAACGATGTGGCCATGATACACTCAAGACTGTACATAAATAATGTTAATTGAGAGGCCTGGGATGAAAATGTCCCGATTTAACAAAACAGATATAGCCGATATCACAAACAGAGATTTTAGTTTTTGCCGTTTCCTATTCAAGCGAACATATAAAAACTTAAAACATTAAACATTACTTGTAGGCTGCTCACCATCTAATAATCTCAAAAGGTTTTGTGTTCTTACTTTTTCATTAAAAAAAAGTCTCAGCTTTGAAACTGTCCAAATTATCATGAAATTCTGACACACTTTAATGTAACAGATCACTGAGGTCATCGCAGTTCAAGTGGAAACTTGGAAAACGAGTGAAGCAATTACCTGTTCCACTTTACTGCTAGTTAATGAATATCAGAAGATATGCTTGATTAAAAAAAATAAAACTTTTTTTAAATGTCACATGTATTCGCTTGTAACTCGTGAGTCAGCTGAAAAAAAATAATAATTTAGCTGAATACATGTACTCTATTATATATATAACATATACCTTTGCCTGTTAGTGATGTCTTAATCATTTAATGTATGTTTGAAGAAATCTCTTGTGAAAACTAGACAGCTGTTTAAATGATTATATTTCAATACAAATTGGAATAGAAACATGATTGTTTCATTATAGAGTTAATAAAAAAGTGCCTTATGTTTAAATGTTTGTTCAGTTTTTTCCAAGAATTGATGATTATATCTACAAATAAACACAGTTCAGATACGTTTTGAAGAAATGTTTAGGTGCTGTTATTCATTTGAACATTTAATATAATAGTAATGAGAAGGTTCCCTGTATAGTTAACAGTATTAGTTATTAGAGACGTTTTACATTTAAAAACTGTCATGTACTTGAAATATTTTCAAATCAAATCAATAACTTGTGAATACAAATGAAATTGAGAAATCTATACCAACACCAAACCCTAATAATTACAACAGTATTAAGATATTTGCTAGAAATGTGTATTTAACCCGTAATTTGTCTGAAAAGAATGATAAGGAATTGCCATTGATAGATACTTTAGAAAATAACTAGACAGCTGTTTAAATGATTATATTTCAATACAAATTGGAATAGAAACATGATTGTTTCATTATAGAGTTAATAAAAAAGTGCCTTATGTTTAAATGTTTGTTCAGTTTTTTCCAAGAATTGATGATTATATCTACAAATAAACACAGTTCAGATACGTTTTGAAGAAATGTTTAGGTGCTGTTATTCATTTGAACATTTAATATAATAGTAATGAGAAGGTTCCCTGTATAGTTAACAGTATTAGTTATTAGAGACGTTTTACATTTAAAACGTCATGTACTTGAAATATGTTCAAATCAAATCAATAACTTGTGAATACAAATGAAATTGAGAAATCTATACCAACACCAAACCCTAATAATTACAACAGTATTAAGATATTTGCTAGAAATGTGTATTTAACCCGTAATTTGTCTGAAAAGAATGATACGGAATTGCCATTGATAGATACTTTAGAAAAAAAGTATTTCTGTATGATTAACAATAGTATGGTAATAACATCCATTACCATAAATATTACATGGTATGATGTTTAACAGATCGTGAAAACAGCATCGCCGCTCAGTGTCAACGCTAAAACCTGCTTGTCTGAAGAACCTGACAGAACAGTTTCTGTTTACGGTCACAATAATTTAATCAACAAAGGACTGACTTACATCATATTGTTGGGGGTAGGTACGGGAAAAAGGCAGCGGTCGCACTACCACCCACTTTTTCTTCTCAAATGATTTCACTAGCAACACTCTGCGCTCTTTTGTCCAGCTGGAAAGAAGAATAGACAAAGCAGAAAGAAGCATTATACCATAATTACACCAGATACCATTGTTATTGACCTCAGGCAAAGCTGCTGCCTACTGTGTCCATTAAAAGCAGTCATATTACAACTGTTCCAGTAAACATTAAAGGTACGTTAATTTTTAATGAGCACATAATGTGCATCCTGGTGGTAAGATGATGCCTGATTGAATAAGGGAGGCTAACCTGTGCCTGGCTTTGGCAGTGCAGTACTTCAGAGACTTGTCTGGCTCATTGACCTGGCCCTCCCTCCAACACTGTCCACACACAAACTTCATCTTCAGATTCAAGCCGCGCCCTCGACCGCATCCTACAAGTCCTCCTCCACCTGTGCTTCCGCCCCCGAAGCCGCCGTCTCCTCCTCCACTGACAACTCCTCCGGAGACCACAGCACTGCTGTTACTGCTGCTCCCGCTGGGCTGGTGGGGCCCGAGCATGGGCTGAAGATGGCAAGTGAAAAAAAAAGACTTGAATCAACAAAATTTACATAAAATCAAATCTGCTGCAGGAGCAATCAAATAAAAAGACATGATTCCATCAAAGATGAGCATTTGTTAGACAGCAGTGTTGTTGTTCGGCCTCACCTTCTGTCTCTGTGCATTCTGTTCCAATCTGTGCCAGTGTCTCTTAGACTCTTGCACCATCTCCTCATGGGTAATACCTGACCCAACACATAAGCACAAACAAAAACCATCAGTTGCTTTCAATTGTCCTCTGTCAAACACCATAATGAACCAGAGCGCGGGGCAAAAAAAAGCACAAGTGACAGTAATTTTCTTCCTATTTTAATATCTTAATATGAAACCGGTCTCTTCTGTTCATAAAACCTGCATTTATTTGCTGAAAAATACAATAAAATAGTAACATTGCAACATTATTACTGATTAAAATAACGTATCTATTTTAAAATGTAATTTACTCCTGTGATGGCAAAGCTGTATTTTTAGCATCCACATTAGGGGTGCGCCGATCCGATATTCAGTATCGGTATCGCTCCGATACTGGCATTTTCTGCTGAATCGGGGTATCGGTCAGACGAGACCGATATAGTGTGTATACTATTGTGTTATTAAGCCCCACGAAAGCCACAAAAACATTATAAAGCACCATAAAGGTTTCGTGCACTATATTTCAAGTGTTCTGAAGCTTTTCCATAGTTTAATGTGAGGTACAGGTGAATAATTAAGTCAAGTTCACGTAAACTCTTTTCTCTGCTGCGGCTGTCTGTCATCCTCCATTCAGCATTCAGACTGTGTGTCACGTGCGGTTATGACTAGGGATGCAACGATTATAGATTTTGTTGGTACGATTATTGTCTGAGAAATAATCACGATTATGGCGATTATTATGCATTTATTCATTTCACAAAATTATTACTGTATAAAATCACACGGACACTCTTTAGATAATAAAGTGTTATTGCTTTAAAAACAGAAATAACACAGTAACCAATAATACAGCACAAAATAATAATAATAAAGACAAACAAATGTTTATCTCTCCAGTTGGAATTAAAAAGGTAACCTCATGCTCTGTAAGCATCCATGTCAGTATTTCCCTTTTGAAAATAACTAATGAAAATAGATCACAAAAGTATTTAGTGTTTTCAGTTTTTACATTCTTTACATTTCTTTTGGACCCGAGGCAGAAAACTGGAAACATGGTGAAAAAATGGCTTATGCATAATACTATAAAAGGGATAATATATAACAATATTAATAAGTATTATTAATATAGGACTATTAACTTTATTTATCCCACAGGGGAAACTATTAATAATCAGGGTAATAAACCATTATCATTGTAATCAACTGTCATCCATACATATTCATTTTAATAATTTTTATAATAATCCATATGATTTTACATTTGGCCTGAGAAATCATGTCTATTATTTTGGTTTGTGAGATCGGCGATGGCGCTGCGCACACATACAAACATTCAGGAGGACACAAACTTGTTGAGAACCCTGCCCCGTGACTTTTATTACTAAAATATCTTAGATACTGAATTGCTACATATTCATCAGCAAGGAGAGGGCAAAATCACTGTTTAAGTAACTAAACTCACATGTTTGTAGAGAGACGCGCTGATGCATGTTTACACACACACTTCTCTTCAACTAGCTAAATGTTATAATTAATTACTTCAAATAAATGTGATCTTACCACACTATTTCATCTGTCTGATCTGAAGTGGGCAGAATACTGAGCTAACGAGCCGTAGCTTCGCGTCAGTCTTGCCTTCAGGTCGTGCATTAAAATAGTTTAAAGCCATGTATTCGCTCTTTAGCAGCAGTTTTTACGGCAATATTTAAATGACACCCTGGTCATTCTTGGTGTAACCAAAATGGTCCCACACTATCGGCTTCAGTAATTTCTCTGGTGGAAATAAAGGATCGCTGTTTGGTTCCTCTGTCATAGTTCATCTAGTGTATGTATAGTAGCCTCCGTGTCTCTGATAAGCACAGTATTTGAAGCTGGTGCACTGCTAGTGTAACTCTGTTTTTGTTTTGTGCAAGTTGCAACTGTTCCGTTCTGTGCAACAGAAACACTGTGTGTAGCAGAGCCTTTACGATTAGTTAACTGTGACATTTAAAAGCGCGGTTAATTGTGAAACCGGTTAATCGCTGCATCCATAGTTATGGCAGTCAAGACGATGAAATTCTCTCCAAGATGTTTAAATGTTTCTAATGTTATACTTGATCTGTAAATAAAGATAAATGGTTTTGCATAAAAGGAATTTATCTTGCTGGAGTTTCGTGCCATTTTTAAATCGTGTAAATTTCTACTGGATATCTGGTTAGATCACAAGACTGGAGTAGAGAGCACTATGAATTGTTCGTCACGAGCGCAGTAAGTGAAATTTAAAACTGTTAAAAGAAAAGGCTCAAACTAATGCACATATTTAATACAATAGTGACTACACATCAATATCTCTTCACTTTGTGCTTTGTACTTCTCTATGTGGAGCGCTGCGACTCCGTGTTGCTGCAAGCGCATCATTCTGCGCAAGGGATGCGCATAAGCGCTTTGTGCCGCTCTGTATTTGGAGCCTTTAGTATTATAATACTTTTGCGCAATGAAAGATTAATAATAGCCTTTCTTGTTCATCTGATCTCATATGTTGCTGCCTCATTACTCTGCTATACATTTAAAAGAAATGTCTTTTAATTTATACAGTAGTCAACATTTGAAGTGGATCAAAAAAGTTAATCAAAGTTGTCCTAAGACAAGAACGGGTATTATTTTGGTTTTAGGACAACTTTGATGAAAGGTTTTGATCCACTTCAAATGTTGACTACTATAATATATATTTATATATTACTTGATTTTCATGAATGTATTTTACAACAATACAAAGAGCAATGTGTAGGCCTACCAGATTTAGTCCTACACTTAATCACAGCAACATATGATAGATAGAACAGAAAAAAAAGACTATTAATAATCTTTCATTGAGCAAAAGTATAATATGAAAGGGTATGACTCCAATACAGAGCGGCACAAAGCGCTTATGCGCATCCCGTGTGCAGAATGATGCGCTTGAAGCAAAATGGAGTCAACAGTGTGCAGCGCTCCTCATAAAAAAAGGGAAGAGATATTGATGCGTAATAGTGTTGTCAAAGTACCAAAATTTCAGTATTCGGTACCAATACCCGTGAAAATCCACGGTTTTCGGTACCAAAGCAAAACACAAAAGCATGCTAATAAAATTTTTTGACTACTTTAATTTAATCCAAAATGTGTACATATTTAATTTTAAAGGGATTTTGAAACCTAGAGCTATTCAGCCAAGAATAACAACTAAGATAGCTTAAAAAATTTAAAATAAAAAGCCCAGAACTTCTGACTGATATGACACAAACAATGTTAACCATTTGTACATTCTCTAACACACATATTTTAGATTCACAATTAATTTAAAAGCCTCTGGAGTGTAAAAATAGTAAATATCATGTCCTCCTGTTTTTTTACCCTAATAAAAGTTATAGGAGCATTAAATAGTTAAAGAAACTTCATTCATATGCTCATTATATTAGCATTAGCCGCGCTTATGCTAACGATTAACTACTCCAATAACAGTGTTCATTTCAATCCGACATTCAAATTAAAATATTGAATAATATGCAGTGTTTCCCCCAGAACCTGCACTCTATCTGTGGCGGCATATATATGCAAATTCATTCTCTGCCAGCAGGAGGCGCTTGTAGAGCACGAGAGATCAGGTTTCCCTGTAACGCTGTACACAAAGCAGCGCTCAGCTCACAAACGCTGCTCAGGCATTACAGGCAAGATGAAATGAAAATGACATCCATAATTTTCTGAAGACAGTCGTTTCCTTCAGAAATACAGTGATATAAAAACACCCGCACCGGGTTTCGACTTTGACACGTGCAGTGCTCATGATTATTCAACAAAGTCAAAGCCTTTTGGAAAATCTATTTGTGGCTGTGGGTTTTGATATTGTGGTGGGCCGCCTCAAATAAATCAATGTATGGGAAACACAAATATAAAAAATTAAACAAACTTACCTGCTTGAACTCTTTCATTTAATGTGGGTGTCTTTAAAGTGTTTTGTTAGTTTGGTGTGTTTCCTCGTTCTGAGGTCGCCACGTCTCAGTGCTTTTATGAAGAGAGCGCATCTGCGCACCTTTCGGATAGCGCATCAAGAACCGGGTTGACCGTGTACTCGGTACCACCGGTACTTAAAAAAA